CAATATTTAATTAATATGTCGACTAATTTGAATTCAAATGCTGTAAAATTTATTATAGGACTACCCTTTTAATCTATTTTTATCCATTTATAATGTCAAAATTCAAATTTTGAATGTTATTTAAAGAATTTAATGTCTTGTAGTTGATATTTAAGGATTTGAATATATTTTTAAGGGTTTTTGGTATGAAGTTAATTTAAAGTTAGACACACGAGCTAAATGACCTCAGTGATTAAAATATTGTTTTTTTAAGAGTTCTTGGATTCGAGCACTAACGACTACGGGATATTTGAGTGTTTATTGTCTAAATGATTGAAAATCTTTAGAACATATATTACTATTGTAATTACCCTATATTATTAAAATCACCATTCCATGTTCTTTGAATTAAGTTAATTGCTTGAAATGGCCCTCCACCCCCACCTTTCCTCATCTCGCACATGTGGGGTAAATTTTCTTTTATCTTTATAATAACGCCGAATATACATATAATGTGAATCCAAAATATTTTCACCTTTTTAAATTTCTCCTTTTGGGTACATGGTCTAGTTAAATTGTTCAATATTTTCTTCACATAAAAAACAATACAGATACAAGTTATTATATTTACAACATATTTTGATGGGTTTATTATATGATTCTACATGATAGTCAAGTCTACTTGAAGATGAAACTCAAATCCTGCAAAAATTCTCAATTAATGACAAGGATACAAATGAAGTAGCATGCATGAATAAAAATAGGAACGAATATATAGCACGCCAGTTTGAGATTAAGGTGACTGTGACAGGCACAGCTTACAACAAGTCTTCCCCTTAAAAGGACAAACAAATATACAAGGAACATTTTTTTGTTGCAAAAAGCAACGGGAGAATTTCGCAAGAGACTTGAAGATGAGAATAAAAGTAGGTTTTAAATCATGTGATGAATGTTGAAGAAATCAAGGGTGTGGAAGTATCTTGAGGTTGGATTTGGAGGAGTTTGATGGGGCTGTGTTAGGGTTGGGAATAGGAATAGGCATTTTGGTGGAAAAGGATTTAGCTATGCACTCGACCATCATGGCCTTGACGAGCTTTCTCTTCGCCGGGAACACGCTTCCTTTCTTCTCCCGAAACCAATATGATGGCTCTTTTTGGCCTCCGTCTGCCTCTGCTCGGGCGGCTTCTCCTTCCCCACCTTGGTTTCGCCTAAACTCCATGCTTCTTGTGAAATGTAACCAAAATCTGGGGAAACTTATAGGCTAAGAATGACTGTATACTTTTCTCACACAATACGTCCAAAAACAAATCTTACTTTGCCACTTGTCACATATCTCACTGCACTGCTAGAGGCTAAGGGTGTTCAAATCCGGGTACCCGATTCCCCGAATAGCATATTTATCGGTCCATGACCCGACCCTTTAAGTTCGGGTATCCTTAAAACTCTGGTATCATATTTTTGGCTCAAGGGTACCCGGTTCACAGACTTTTTTTATTTTTTAATTATTTTTTTTTAAAAAACCCACATAAAAAATAAATAAAATTTAAAAGTTCAGAATATACAATTCATATAAAAAATAGTGATTTAAAGTTAATTATATATATATATATATTAAAATTTATTTTCAAAGGAAAAAATTAAAAATATTAAAATCAATCATGATTTTTCCTTTGAATCTCTATTAACAAATTAATAAAAGTTTTTTTAAGAAAATTAAATCTTAAAACTTTTAAGTTAAAAGTACATAATATAAACCTATACAAAAATAAGAATTTAAATTTAGTTTGAAGGTAAAAATATTAAAGAACATAAAATAAAAATATAATTTAAATTAATATATATATATATATATATTAAAATTATTGGGCCGGGTTGGGTACCAGGTAACAAAAAATATTCAACCCAGAATCAGCTCAACTACTCGGAGAAAATTACCTGCCTAGATCGGATAATTTTTTTTAAAATTATTTACATAGACATAATATATCTACTAGTATAAAGGGGGTTTGATGATACTTAATTATACATGAAAATTGAGAGAATGGTGCATACTTCTCTATATTTCCCTAAGTTATTTTAAATTACTTGTCTTCAAAAATAATTTTCATCTTAAAAAATTATAATTTAAAATTTCCCAACTCACTAATATTCTTTACTTCATATCTAACTATAGATTTATTAATTTGAAAATGAACTGTAACAACATAAAATATAATTTAAATAGTCTCATTTATCCATGTTATAAATACGAGAAAATCTAATATATATAAGTAAACTTGAACAACATCTATTTCCCCCTCTAAGACAGGATAATCATTAAGATGTATGATATATATGGGCTCATATCATACATCTTAATGATTATCCTGTCTTAGAAGGAAACAGCATCACAATTGGACCAATACAATTTTTTTTTCTAGCTTTGATTTTTCTTTCCCCCAATCAATTGGTTGCTGATTGTTATTTACATAAAAGAAAATAACAACTAGAAAAGAAAAGCTTGGTTGTATTAGTATATTAAACTCAAGTGCAGTTAATTTGTCTAATTTCCATTCATGAATGAGATGCTGAAGGTGCTATTAGTCCCAATGGCGTTGTATTAGTTTTCTTATATATAAAACTTGTAGTTACCCTATTATGTTAACCTATTGTGCCATACCATGTCAATTTTTTTTATATAAATACAATCATATTCATCATGTATAATCCAAATTCAATGGGACCTCTCCCATATATATATAATACTCATCAAAATATTTCAAAGAAAATGTGACCCCTCCCAATCTCTTAACTGCTCCGTGGTCCTAAGGCATGCATTCTCAAGAATCTTTGAAGTCTCCAATACATTAATGTATAAGAATGGATCATAAGTTAATGTGCCGAGACCAAAGTCAAGGAAACTTTGCCAGCTTAACCCCGAACCCTAATTTTTATTTAGATTTTGTGACATCATTTATTTGGATCATAATCTTGAGTGGAAAATGCATGAAAATTTCTACCAAGGTTCCAATGGGATGGGACCCAAAATAAAAGCAAATCCTTTGACCCTCCACTTCAATCATAAGAAGACAGCACAAGATCATGACGATGACTATGTTGATGCTGACCATCTTCATCAAGTTTCTGTGGCTAGAGTAATTTCATCCAGCTGTAATGCTTTGGAAGAAATAGAGCAACATTTTTGTACTTACTAATGCCAATTATTCAGAAAGGGAATTCGATGTCTTACTACTTCAGAGAATTAGATGAATTGGACAAACATCTCATTGCATAACAGACAATAAAGAAATGGTCAGCATTGAAGTACCTATAGATTGTTCATTGGTGATTAGAGAAAAGAAAGAGACACCAATGTCTATTGAATGGAGTGGTTTGATGCATTTCGATTTTAAATATAGTCGACACCTGCAGTATACAACACCAAATTTTGGCCATTGCAGTCATAAATGAAAAAGTGAAAGTGAAACTTAAAAACGAATCTACTTTCTGGATAATTAAAAACTTCATTGATGAATCCACGGAAAACAGGAAACTCTACATTGCAAAAGCTTCAAAACACAAGAAGAAAATGCAGTGTAGAATTGCATATAGACATATAACCAGTTGAAGCTAGCGAAAGAAACGCAGAAGAAAACGATTTTCCTCTTAATTAAGTCACTCTAACTCCCATGGAGGAATGTATGAGTGGCTGCTGTAAACAAACAACTTATGCCTTTTTTTCCTATACTTGAGAATGCCCCAGGAATTGAATTCTTGAGATTGAGAACCAGAAAAAGCTGCTGGAATTTTGTTGAGGATCAGAGGAACCAACATTAAAACTGTTCTATGATATGGCCTGTAGCATATATTCACAATTTCAACATGGTAGCTGTTGATTCTACATATCGGCTGGTTTGGTGATGGAACATTCAGGCGAACACCTGTCCGAGGATGATGTAGTTGTAGGGGAAATCCTGGTATTCTTGGCATTCCCACAAGACGCCATCTTCACCACTTCACCGGAGCTAACAGGATTGCAGAAGGCGTGAAAAACATAAGAGACAGAGTTTAGGAATTGATTGAATATCATCCTCTTCACTGATCTCCTCTTAGGTGGATGACCCCCACTTCTTCACTTTGAATCCACCAGCTTCTTCAGCCATCCCTTCTTCATAAAGTAATTGTGGTGTTTGAACAGTAATGCATGCCAAAAAAAGGGTTGGAAACCAATTGAGGATATATAGCACTATGTAGTTAAAGAAAGAGTTCGATTGCGTAACGAGGTACGTGTTGCTTTTAATGCCTTTTCCTTTGTATCAGCTGGGGGACACCCCAGACTTTTTCCATTTGTGTTTCAATACCAAGAAAACATGATCTGATGTCAAGGTGTGAAAACTTTAAGGTCTCGTCATTTTGCCCAGATATATTCCTCGAAGCCAGTTACTTGGAAGATTCAATTATTTATTCAGCAAGTATCCATGGTTTGAGAGATTGACAGAGATAAAAAATTTAAATTTTTATATTTTATTAATAATTTATTTTTGTTTCTTAAAATCTTATAAATTTATCACATAATATAAAATTTTAGGTCCGTAGAGACAGTAACTGAGAAGTGCAGTTGTAGTGTAATAGAGGCGGCTGGTAGTCCCATTACCGATTGGATCCCAAAGCTCACCGCCCATTGAAGAAGTAGTTAGATGTGAAAGCTTTGGAAAGATGGTTTAAAGCGCAAAATCCAAAGCCTGAAAGTGCTACATTCTTATCTATTACTACTCTTTCAACCATCACATTTGTGAACGCTCGGGCAGCATAATATTTAATTTAGGTTAGGTCAGCTCAACATGCATGTTTAGGTGTGCAGCAGAAACCACACTCTACCTTCATCTACTCTGATAATATTTCAGTTTCTGATGCACTATAATTATGATTGGAATATTTTTTACTGAAATAATAATAATATTAATTATTGAAATTAGATTGTTTTACCAAAATATACCTTAATAAAAAGTTAATTTCTTAATTGGGGAGAAAAACTCGTTGAGTTGAACTTAGATTTTCTTAATTGATTTATTTACTAGGCTTTGATTGGTAGTTTTGTTTTCATTTTGCCATACTTGGTATGATGTATTTGTTCTAATAGCTAGTCTCTTTTGAAGGATGGGAAATATCGTGAAGCACTTGGGAAGTGGGAGGCGGCTCTTTATTTGATGCCTGAAAATGCAGTTTTGTTTGAACAGAAGGCACAAGTTCTACTTGAACTTGGGGATGCATGGAGTGCATTGAAGGCAGCGTCTTGTTTGTCTCGGTTACTTTTCACTTGGTTGTTTCTCAGTAACATTGTCCAAATGCTTCTTTGATTTAAAGCTCCTTCAATAAGATTATAAGTTATTGAACATGCTTCTGCGTTTCGATATATAATGTGATATGTCTTGTTTGTGTTGCCAATATACTAGTTCAAAACTTTTGTCGGCTTATCTGTGGATTCCACTTGGCAGGGGCAACTGAATTGGAACCATCATGGGCCGAGGTATGTCAAGCTTGTAACCTGAATGCAATGTCAAATGAGAAGCTTTGTAACATGCCTTGAGAAACATCATACCCCCATTATAATTATGTTCCATAAACACAACACTCATATTTCTCAAACGATTTGGATACGTGCAAAATTTGAGCTCATTCATGTTGTTTTACACCTGGTACTTTGTAGTCTATCATCAACTGATGATGACCAGAAAGCACAAATTTAGCTAATGATGAGGAAAATAATTTGTATATCAATCCATAGAAGTGATTCACTTTCCACATGACAGCTGTTTTCCCTAGATTTCCAATGCCTGCTCTATTTTGGTGGTTGCTAGCTAATGCTGAGATATTTCAATTGAATGTTTTCTCTGTTAAATGCTTCTTAAAAGCAAATGTTTAGTCGAAATACCTTTCTGTTATTGTAGCGTTCATTGTAAGCCAAAGCACCCTTTTGTTACGTATGAGGTTGTATTTGTTTTTCAGGCATGGGTCACTCTTGGTAGAGCAAAATTAAACTTTGGAGAGCCTGATAATGCCATTGAGAGTTTTGACAGAGCAGTAGCTATACGTTTTCGATACTTATCATTCGAGTTACCTGTCCATGCCTTGTATTTTGATGAGGTATGCTTTATCAGATCTTCAAGCTACTGCTTGTATTTCAGAAGTCCAATGTTTCTCTGGTTAAACTGGTCTTGAGCCTTGTATAAATTCTCCCAAAGAATGTATAAAAATATTAGGCATTGTTAGAACATCCCTTTGTCAAGTTAAGTTATCTTTACGAATGACAATGAAATGGAAAATGGAAAAAGGAAGAGAAGTTGATGGCGTAAATCATTAAATTATGCATGCTCTAAAGCAATTCTTCTCTTGTATTTCTTTTTTGCTTATGTTCTTCAAACAATCCTAGCTTAAAGTCTTGCCTTGGCAAAGCACAGGCTTCTTAATTTTCCTGGTTGATGACGTCCGACAAAGCTACTCCTGGAATACCTCTGTTTTAGGTTCCATATAATGCGGGAGCTTGGCCCTACAATATTCTATCATTTTTTTCTCCGTCGGCTATTCGCCAAACTCATCCTTAAAACTTACAAAGGCGCATGGCATCTCACCCCAGCCGCCTCCTTTTCAGTGTGATTCAAAACGACATTCGAACGAAATGTAAACTCGAAATACCCCTCCTCAGCGACAAGGGTTTATGCTTAAAAAATGTTTTAACAGTTTAACCCTTAGTTTTCTCTGACCACATTCCTTCCAAGAGTTGGCTTTCACTCCATTTTCCTCTTTATTTTCACTGATAGCGCCCTTTTCTCTCAGATCTTTACGCATCGGTGAAGAGAAGATCAAAGCGTTGATAGGGTTTTAAAGGCACTGCCTCGATTTTTTTGAAATTTATATTATTAGCATTTCTTTGATTTCCTTTTTGAAATCTCGATCTTGTTTTATTGGATTGCCAAGCTGGTTTCCAATTTTGTTTGATGAGATCTGAAATTTGACGTTAGATTATACCATCTTTCCACTAGGGTTTATCTAATTTCCGCGTTTCAATATCTCATGCTTCTAGATTGTTTAGTTATTTTCTAAGAGTATTTCTGAAGGGTTTCTTTTTCTTTTTTGTAATGCAATGTAAAGGCTATGGCAGGATCAGGGAGTTCGATGCTATATTCATTTCTTTTATTTACTGTGATTCTCTCACTCCAAGAGATGTATCGAGGGAAGTTAGCTTCGTCGGAACTTTTCACAGTATTTGGTGGATTCATCAGCTCCCTCTTGTTTCTTGTTTTACTAACATTGAGTCTCCAGACGCCCTGAATCTGATCCTTTATTTTATTTATTTATCACCCATATTTGCGTGGGAATGTTCTCAATTATGTTTTTAATCTGATCATATGTTGTATTTGTCAATGTTGTAAACGCCAACATATTACAATCTGAGCTCTGAGAACTTAATGGCATTTTTTTTTACTTTGCTTGATTTGGCATTATAATCTGAATTTTTCTTGCCTTCTCTCTTTTTAGCAGGTTTTAAATCGCGGTCGCAGTTGCGGTCGCATTTTCGGTTATTTCGTATTTATTGCGACTGCAGTCGTCGCGGGTGCTATTGCGACTGTCGTGGGCACTATTACGACTGTCGTGGGTGCTATTGTGGCCGTCGCGGGTGTAGCGGAAGGCAGCGCTACCGCAAAATCGCGGGCACTATCGCAGTAGTGAGGCGCTATTTGAAACCCTGCTTTTCAGTTCATTAGGAATTTCCAGGAGGCAAATGGGATTAGGACTGGTTGGGGTGCCGGTAAGCAATAAGAAACCCTTCTTTTCATTAATTGTCTGCTTGTCTTTTCTTTTAATTAGTTGTTATATGTTATTGATAAACGTAAGAGAGAAGAAGCCTTTTAACATTTTATACTGTCATATAACTTTCCATGGTGAAAATATAGCATGCACAGTGCATTATTGGCTCATGAGGTTCACTACTGAAATTAAACAGTAGTAAGGAACTCAGAGGTTTGATATTTGAAAATCATCATTTCCTTGTTTTGGTAATAGTCACTGAAGTTCATCAAATCCCAATATTGTCTTTTTTCTTTATGGGAAGAATTTTTTATTGAAAATGGAATTTAAGTATTTATCTTAGTATTAGCTCCTTGTTCTAACAAATTTTACAATGCAATCGCTTTTTTAGTGCTGAATTCCACAAACAACTTGAATTTCTCTCTTTTTTGGCAGTCATATTAGCATAAGTTGTTGCACTCATTGCTGCTAGCACTGTTCACCGCGTGTGTATCACATGGTAATGTCAAGAAGTGACTCATTATCTGCATTTTACTTCATGCTTTATGAGAAACATTTTAATCCATTAACAAGGTTCATTTGGTAAGTTTGAATTATGTGGATGGAATAATATGTTAAAGCAAGACCACTTGAGAACAAACCCAATGTGAGAGAGAAACCGGGAGTTACAGTTGGAGCTTGTTTATCTTATAGTCATGGTGGAGCCAGGTGATGGATTTGAACCTATTGACAAATGTTAAAATGAGGAAAGTATGCTTCCTAATTCCCTCCTGTGGGAATAACTGCCTTTATATTTCATGTCCAATGCAAGTTCTTGTTCTCAGCTGGATTTTCTTTTACCAATATGCAAACTGAATTACTAATGACTGATTTTATATTCCATGGTTCAATGCAGTTTCTTGTTCTCAGCTGGATTATTTTATGAGATCAACAAGATTTCAGGATTGACTGTTTCTAAAATTGAATCAAAAACAAAGTGGCACCGAGTTAAAAGATCATTCCTTTTCAGAATAAAAGTTAGTATTTGATTAGAAGGTTGTCTGGTTGTGGCGTTCTGCTTCTAGGACTAGATATAATCAACGGTCACTAGTAATTTCAATTTTGAAAATTTCCCTTAGAGGTCACTGTTGTTCACTTGTTATTGGCTCATCCTTTGAATGAAGAATTTTGAAAATCTTTATTGTTTTCCTCTCCATTTTGCTTTGCTTTTATAATAAAAACAATGTATCAGTGTATTCCTGTTTGTATGCAAGCAAATGGTCATGGCGACAAGTCTTGAACTGCAAATCATCTTTTGATTTCCATTTGTTTAGGTTCTGCAAATTTCAATCCCTAACTTTATTTATTCTTTCTTATTTTCTTATCATGGTAGTCAGCACAGTTCAGGTGAAAAATACAATACTGTGTTTGTTCTGGTATAAGTGTCTTCTAGTGTATCAGTATTTTTTAAAATATTCTTCACATTATAGATGCAAATATACCTCAATTACATATATTTATATCCTTATACAAACTTTGAAATAATTAATTAAATGATTATTTGTTACACCCAAAAATATTGAGATTTAATTATTGGATTATAGTAAGTTGGACGAAATCATAAACTTGGGATCTTGAGACTAGTTTTCGAAAGTTTTAGGAAGCTCAGGGGTCTAAGTTGGAATTATCCCATCAATCTATGGTTTTGAAAAAAAATTATAAAAAATGAAAGAGTTGAGTATGGTGAACCATGCCCTAGCCATTAAGCTAAGACATTATTTCAATCAAAATATGGTAAACTATTTCTTTAAAGTTTTTGGTTGGGGATTTTAAATCCCAAAACCTAATCCCCAAATTTCTACTCTCTCGTTTGAACCAAAACCCCATAACCCAACTCACTGCCTCAACATCGTTCACCAATCTTTGGCCAGCGGTGACGTGCACCTCCACCACCATGTCAATCTCCATCGTTCTTCGATCAAAACCTATTTGGTAATTCGTCGGAAACCGTCGTCGATTGTCGTGTAGAGCCTCTTGAAGGTTCGTCGAAACCTAAAAACCCACGTTTATATTTTTCGCGATTCCAACCGTCGCAGGCGATCATAGGCGCGTCACTGCCACCAAACAACTCGTTATCCCAGTTGGTCAAAACTCGATAAGCCCGCTGAGTAAGCCTGTCGTTCGTCGTGAATCAATCGATAAAGCTTCGACGAAAACTCAACCATCACCATTATTTTTCGTATTTTTACGTCGATCTCGATGCTAGCTCCACTCACCATCATCACTGTTGGATTTCTCGTCCTAGTTCGGTCAAAACCCGACCGGGTTTGTTGCATCACCGTCGTCCAATCGCCGATCGCCATTGGGTAAGCTTTAATTGTTTTATTTTAATTTTCAGCGACGTTTGGTTGGATTATTGGGATTATGTGAGTTGGTTTTGGGTGTTTGGTGGTTTTTCAGTTAATCGATCGTCGTCCCCGTCATCTATTGCACATGCCGCCAAGTGCCACCAGTACGCATGGACTTTGATTTCAGTCGAGTCAACCGAACCTTTTGGATATCGAGTCAACTCAGACCATCAACCCGTTAATCTGGCCATTGACCTAATCGTTGACCCGTTAATCTGGCCGTTGACCCAATCGTTGACCCGTTAACCAGACCCTTGACTTTGACTTTGATTGCATTAACTTTGACAAAAAAGTTAACTTTTTTGAAAAATGCCTATTTTATGTTTTTGGACGTCCTGAGTCCGAATCCAAAGTTTGTTTCACCAAATTCAAAGTCGGTAAGTTGTTTTTCAGTGTTTTATCTTCCGATTCGAATAGTTTTCCCGTTTAAGTTTCGTTTCTGATGTTTATTATTTTCCATGTCACGGAGATATTATGGGACGTCGAAATCAAGTGTGAAGGAATTCGAGCGGAGTTTAATTAGTTTATTGATGTGAACGAAAATCGAGGTAATACTTTATTACCCTATATATACTTTACGGTACATGTTGGTAATTAGCTGATGCATGATTTATAATATTTACTCAAATAAATATCGATGAATATTTTTAAATTCGTATTGAATATGAAAAAAGGATATTAAATTGGTTAAGACTCAAACTGAGTATGGTATAAAGTTGGTATACTGAATAAGACTCGGATGACTTGCTTAAGAAAATGAAATACCAATAAGAAAGAATTTCAGGATCAGCAATCGACCTCATAATTTGTAAATTCTGATTATTTTCTTTAAAGTTTTTGTCGAGAATACTTGGATAAGAAATTACAAAAATAGCCCTATAA